GATTCAAAGGGCCGCATGTTGAGTGAACAGAGCAGATCGCCCTTTAGAGAGCGAGTAATTGGTATTTGGGTTTTTGTGACCACTTTCATTTCATGTGGAAACGCTGTCCAGATATAGCTCTCCCAGTTGTCAGGGTGACATTCTTGCTCACATTAAGGTCGTGTGCACACCGGCCTGTTGTCTGTTTCCCATGCTCTTTCACTCCCGTTTCTCTGTTTTATGTCTGATACCGTCTCGCTGTTTAACTGTCTGTCTCGTTTGCTCTCGGCCCGCTCGTCTGAACACCAAACTCTCTCTTAGTGATGTAATTAGACCATTAATCACATTGATTGATTTGTAATTTACAAAACTGATGAACATTCACTGGATTCAGCTTCTCAAGTGTGTGGCTTCTATTCTAAACTGAACATATCTTTTGATTTTTCACTGTTTTCTCTGATTCTGTAGACTAGATAGTTAATCAATGAATTCAAACACATTATAAAAAGTTAAATCAGTATTTACAATAATCATTAGTTACTCTTAATCTAAGCAGACTTTCCATTTAACGAGCCTTTTCCAGCTCTCTTTCTAGTCGCAAACTTCAATATTTGTTTTGTGTCCGGCATCATTTCCTGTTTTGTCATGATGTAGGCTTTGTGTTTGCATTATGCGGACCTGATACATATGAAAAGATGTTATCAATAATATAACAGATATCGGAACAGATATTTTACAACATATCTGTGTTGTTTGAAAGTGATCCGTATGGGGAGATGACACAAGGCTGCACTGCTCTGTATTGGAGTATAAAATCCTCCTCTATACAGTATTTTAACTCCATTTCTCAGGTGTTACCTCACTCACCTTTATGAATGATATCACAGGATGATTAATGAACTTGCCCTTTTGTGAAAACTTGGCATAGAACGTACGAGTTGTTAATGGTTAACCAAACAATTCTCGTAATTCAACGCTATGCAGGAGTCTGCTGCTTCAGAACGACCATCATTTACAATGTTGAATGCATGATGTCATTCATGGGGCTGTAATAGTTCAGGCCGTGTGGAGCTGATATCATGGAAATGTGTGGTGATGATGACTGTAACCTGCCCAATGCAAGATTTATTGATTTAAAAGAGATGTGCTGGGCGCGACGTTTTACAGCCGACAAATGAACTTGTCACCGTTTGTTGGACGAACTTCAGAAAGGTGACGCTGTACGTTTCTGTATTTCAATTTCCTGTAAATTATCGGCTGACATAAACGCTGATACGCTCCATCTGCAATGAGCAAAGTTAAGGGGAAATCTTATTCGATTTAAATATAGCAAACTGAAGGTTTTAAAAGATTTTTTTTTACAGTGTAAACACAACATTTTATTTCTCAGAAATATTGGGGCTAACCGGTAATTTGTGTGATGATCACTGCTAGAACAAAGTTTTATTAACATCTGAAGTTTGCAGATCGAGCCAGTTTGATGACGCACAAAGCTGTTCACTCTGCATCTTTTGCCCTCTACCTTTGTGCCCGTCTTAAAATAGAATAAAGGATCAATGTGATTGTTCAGTCTTGGTGTGAATGTCACAGATATCGTAACCTGAGCAGCAGAATATGGCATTGGTTGGCAACACGGATACTCGTTAAACAGCCATTTGCTCCATAAATGTCTCGTGATGCGTGAGTGTGTGTGCCAGCAGGTTGCAGGTATTGTGAATAGTTTGTGGAATGGTGAGCTCACATCGTGAGCTGATGCACGTCCGCTTATCTCTGGACTGTAACATGCTGATGCCCCGGCGGGTCATCTTATCCTCTTTGCTGATTAGGGTCGAATATTTAATCCAGTGTGATGTTTGGATCTTGGCATTTTCAGAAGATAAGTCAGGTGACGGTGATAAATAGAGGATGTGGAGCTTTTGAAGAACGTTGTACTAGCTTTGTAATGTCACACAGCATTGTAAGATGGTTACCTTTTTTATGACATGAGTTATTTTTCAAAAGTAGTTCACGTTAACGCGGTACAGTAGCGCAGAATATCTCAAAGCATAGGTCCTCTAACAAAGGCTCTAAAACTCCGACATTTAATCATGAAATGACCACATGTGCATCACCCTCTAGTGTCCTGAAGCACCGTGTGCTGGGTGCATGCTGGAGTTAAGTGAGCTAATTTGCGCTCTATAAGGGATATAAAGAAACTAAGCAGTTACTTTTACAGATCTGCTTGAAGTCAAAAGCCGTCTCCTTTTCTGGTCCCCAACTTTCCTGTTTTATTAATAACCTTTGAGATTCAAGCATCTACGAGACAAAACAGAAAAGCATTTTTACTTTTTCCTTCTTATTCCCTTTTAAGCCACATCTATTACTTTGCATCACGCAGAGGCTCCCCTGTCATAATTTGGTTGAAAGACATGTGAAAGGTCATTTGAGGCTTGGTCACATGAACCAGTAAGAACCAGCATGCTGCCTGCCACAGTTCATTGAAATGACTTGCCTTTAAACTCGTTGGTTTTTGTAGATCTCTTCGTCTAGTTACAGAAGAGGTCAAAAGAAAAGCGCCTTTTGGCTGGCGAGCAGAATGTTGTGACTGACTACCTGCTAGTGTGCGATTGAGTACCCGTGTCTCAAACGCTCCCCTCCTTCAGCCCCATCGGTGTGGGTGTCCTCTCTCCCTCCCCCTCCTCCTCCTCCTCCCGTCTCTCTCTCACTCCCGTGTGCCTCTGCTCACGTACACACCTTCCTGGAAGGGCATTGTTTGTGCAGAGTACCAACGTAGAGCTTTTCAGACATCCTTTACCTCTGTTGAGTTCAGCTCCAGTCCAAAGTCAAAGGTTCAGTTCAGACTTAAAGTCAGTAACTAGAACAGCAGCCGTCCCAACTGCAGTTAATTACTAAAATGACTGTCGTTCGTTAGTGACTCTATTCATTCAGTTATTATTCTATTAGATTAATGTGACATTGATTTTAACTTGGTTTTGGTTTTTCTGTTGCTGTTTCTGAACACGGAGGTCGGTGCACCGATCCTCTCTGCAGCTCCATTATGCTTTGTGTGCATGTTACTCAGCTGACAGTCTGTTTTTTCCTTCTCTCTGGCATCCTGCCTAGCACGCTAAAAAGACGAGTATACAAAGGAGGGAGAGATGGCTAATAACCGTGTCCCTTAGTGTCACCCCCAAGTGGCTGACGGGGTCTTGCTTGGCTGCATGGTTAACAAACCAACAGCGTGTTTCACTCACTGAGCGGTCATGTGAAAAGCTTGTTTTTTCAACATGAGTACACAGCTTTATACCCACAGTGTATGTTAAATTAAAGTTATTTTGTTGTTGGTACGGTGTAAGTGAGGACATCCTCTAACCACACGTACTGTGAATTCGCAGCCAGAAATAATGGGTCTGATGTGGGTGAATAGCTGAAGTGTGTGCAGGTGGTGGACTCCTCTGACATCTATAAGAGAGAGACGATGGATGAGGAAGTGTTGGCCACCATCCAAAACACTCAGCTGATTGGATGAACCGTGCGGTGGAAAGCAGAGGAGGGGAGTAGATGAAACGAGGAGAAAGAGAAATAAAGAGCTTCTCGTAGTGGTGAGATAGTGATACTGGTGCTGGGGGAGTCTATTCAAATCAAGTGTAATAAGATGGGTGTGTTCAGGTGCACACAGCTGCAGTCTTCAGCTGTGTGTGTGTGTGTGTGTGTGTGTGTGTCACGCGCATACGTGCACATGCTGGCCCTGTACTCAGGCTAGTAGCTGTTGCTTTAATTGGGGCCTAACCCTCTGCACTCCAGCCGGCATGTTTTATTGACTGCAATAACTGGGTCGAGGTATCGAGTGTCCTTTTGTTACCAGGATAGAGCAGGAAGTCTGTGTGAGAGTTGAAGAACGTTGTTCTAGCTTTATTAAGCTTTTCTATGAGAATATTTTTATTATCTATATAAAGATCTGTATGATTCAGTATATGTTATAAAAATCTGTGTCATAAACATACCTCTGTGTATTTAGACTTTTTGACCATTATTGTACGTAAGAACACGAGCGCTTTTTCATGGAAACGCGAGGATGAAGCGCTACCCAGCGCCCCGCGGACAGAAGAGGCGCTATGTGGACACAGGCCCATAGGTGCTGTGCTGGCAGATGTTATATAAACTAGAGTTCAAGAAAAAACGACATACATTATTAGACACATTAGGCATAGTTAGTTAAACCTAATGCCCTCAAATAAAACATCAAATACCTTCATGCAGGTTATTGTCATTTTTTTACAACATATAAGATTCTTGTTTTACATATATGTATGTCATTGGGCAATATTTTAAAATATTGGCACACTGTGTGTGCATCATGTCCGAGACGATACTGAATCAGTCACAGATCAGCGCATACTGTATTCAATAAGACTCCTTCTAGCTGTAGCTACTGGTGTTAACGGTTCTGTGTGTAATTCATAGAGCATGTGCTGCCTCATGGTGTGTGTGTGTGTGTGTGTTAAAAGAGATGTTTCTGTTGTGAGGAACCTGATCCGTGTGTAGCTTCAGGCAGCGGTAACTCGATCTTTGTGACCCTTAAACACGGACAGAAGGCCAGGCCCGGTTTTACTTCTAGTGAAAAGCTCTTTGATCAAACAAAAGGTTCGATGCTGAGAGAGTTCAGATCTTTTGAATAATAAATTAGTCTCAATTACTTGCATGATTAGATGGATTAGATGCTATCAAATTTGCTTGTTTTATGATGATGAAAACATTTAGTTATGATGATGCTTTCTTACCGTTTTGTATCACACATTTATATTATTTAGTATAGCTGCAGAAATAAAAGGTTTAAAATGATAGTTTGGCCCACTTCGATTTCCTAATCAGATGACTCTGCAGTTACTTATGTTATATTAATAACATTAGTGTCTCATATTAAAGACATATCAGCACTTGGTTCCTTTAACGTTCTGATGTTCCCACTCTCTTTGCTCTCTTCCTCTTTGTGTTCGCTCTCTCTCTTGTCGTTACCTTCTCAGCCAATCGGAGCCTGATGCCCTGGAAGCCTGCGTCGTCTCCCTGAAGGCACCAGGGGGCCTCAGTCCCACAGCGGGACACCCAGCTCTGGGTTCGCTTTCACCCTGAACCCTCCGGCTCCAGGCAAGCTGTCCCACCCTGCCTCCTCTCCCTCCTCCTCTTCTCCTCCCGCTACTTCTTCTCCTCCCTCCTGGTCCCCACAGGCCCACCTGGCCTCCCATTTAGCTTTCTCCCTCCATGAGGGGCGGGGGGAGGCACCGGAGGGCCTGGATGTGGACCCCCAGCCTCTTCATCTTGATTCACCTGAAGACCTAAGAGACCTGAGGAAACGATGCCACGATGTGTCAACTTTAACAGGTGAGTCACAAAGGAGGAACTTCACTCACTCATCAATCTGCAAATGACTTCAATATGTTGATGATACCGAGCAGCACCAAAGGCTAATTCAACAGTGTGATCTTAAATGAACAATGTACAGTGGGTACGGAAAGTATTCAGACCTTTAAATTTTTCACTCTTTGTTTCATTGCAGCCATTTGCTAAAATCAAAAAAGTTCATTTTAATTCTCATTAATGTACACTCAGCACCCCATCTTCACAGAAAAAAACAGAAATGTAGAAATTTTTGCAAATTTATTAAAAAAGAAAAACTGAAATATCACATGGTCATAAGTATTCAGACCCTTTGCTCAGTATTGAGTAGAAGCACCCTTTTGAGCTAGTACAGCCATGAGTCTTCTTGGGAATGATGCAACAAGTTGCATCACACCTGGATTTGGGGATCCTCTGCCATTCTTCCTTGCAGATCCTCTCCCGTTCCGTCAGGTTGGATGGTGAACGTTGGTGGACAGCCATTTTCAGGTCTCTCCAGAGATGCTCAATTGGGTTTAGGTCAGGGCTCTGGCTGGGCCAGTCAAGAATGGTCACAGAGTTGTTCCGAAGCCACTCCTTTGTTATTTTAGCTGTGTGCTTAGGGTCATTGTCTTGTTGGAAGGTGAACCTTCGGCCCAGTCTGAGGTCCAGAGCACTCTGGAAGAGGTTTTTTCCAGGATATCTCTGTACTTGGCCACATTCATCTTTCCTTCAATTGCAACCAGTCGTCCTGTCCCTGCAGCTGAGAAACACCCCCATAGCATGATGCTGCCACCACCATGCTTCACTGTTGGGATTGTATTGGGCAGGTGATGAGCAGTGCCTGGTTTTCTCCACACATACCGCTTAGAATTAACGCCAAAAAGTTCAATCTTGGTCTCATCAGACCAGAGCATCTTATTTCTCATAGTCTGGGAGTCCTTCATGTGTTTTTTGGCAAACTCTATGCGGGCTTTCATATGTCTTGCACTGAGGAGAGGCTTCCGTCGGGCCACTCTGCCATAAAGCCTCGACTGGTGGAGGGCTGCAGTGATAGTTGACTCTGTGGAACTTTCTGCCATCTCCCTACTGCATCTCTGGAGCTCAGCCACAGTGATCTTTGGGTTCTTCTTTACCTCTCTCACCAAGGCTCTTCTTCCACGATTGCTCAGTTTGGCTGGACGGCCAGGTCTAGGAAGAGTCCTGGTCGTCCCAAACTTCTTCCATTTAAGGATTATGGAGGCCACTGTGCTCTTAGGAACCTTGAGTGTTGCAGAAATTCTTTTGTAACCTTGGCCAGATCTGTGCCTTGCCACAATTCTGTCTCTGAGCTCCTTGGGCAGTTCCTTCGACCTCATGATTCTCATTTGCTCTGACATGCGCTGTAAGGTCTTATATAGACAGGTGTGTGCCTTTCCTAATCAAGTCCAATCAGTTTAATTAAACACAGCTGGACTCCAATGAAGGAGTAGAACCATCTCAAGGAGGATCAGAAGAAATGGACAGCATGTGAGTTAAATATGAGTGTCACAGCAAAGGGTCTGAATACTTATGACCATGTGATATTTCAGTTTTTCTTTTTTAATAAATTTGCAAAAATTTCTACATTTGTTTTTTTCTGTCAAGATGGGGTGCTGAGTGTACATTAATGAGAATTAAAATTAACTTTTTTGATTTTAGCAAATGGCTGCAATGAAACAAAGAGTGAAAAATTTAAAGGGGTCTGAATACTTTCCGTACCCACTGTAGGTTCGTAGCTGCATCACTAGAGGGCAGTGTGCCATCGTAGGTGACATTTCAGTCTAATTGTGGTTGTTAAAGCGCTGCTTCCTTTCTGTGTCTTTTGTTTTTCTTTCCTCACACGTAAACCCATACACTCACACATCTTTATACAAATGCACGCATGTACACAACAAACACTCCCCACACTCAGACCTCTGTTCAGACCTGCCAGAGTTGGAGATAGTGAGCCTCCTGTCAGAGGGTCAGCCCAGCTACACTCTTCGGGCAGACAGCGTGTTTGGATACGACAACGACGACTGGCTGCACACCCCTCTGCTGCCGCCGGCAGTCGTTTTGGGACTCACGCACGAGCAGATTGAAGAGACTCTCAAGTACTTCTGTGAGTGCATCTTTTATGTACACTTTACATACCGTCTCGTGTGTAGTGATGATGTTACCAGTGGTGGGCTCCACTTCATGTGCTCTGACGGTGTCCCATGTCACTGATCTATTCCACTCCCACTCACTGTTCAACCGTTGTCCCCCGCAAGTCACATGACACAATAACAAACAGAGAGCGAAAATACCGAAGTTCCCCTTTTCAGTCTGACGAGGAGTAACATGAAATGATAAGACCTCCTTTTAGGGCATTTGCTTGTTATGTTTTCATACATACGTTGGGTTATTTTTGTCATATTAAAGACATACTGCAGCTTTGTGTTAGTTCAATCTTTGCATAGGTGAAGTTATATGGTTTGTTAAAAGTCAATGTGTCACTTTTGACGGTTGGCCAAGAAGTGGAACACAGCAGCTCTGTGTTTGTAAAATGCTTGGACAGAGCTGCACTGAATGTAAACATCGGGCTCTTTGCTGATAGCGAGTCGTAGAACTGTACTTAATTGTTTTAGAGCTTTAAAGGTCTCCTTCTCTGTGATCTTTATATGAATTATATTCTTGTAAAAGGTGAAAATCATGTCACTTTGTGTGATGGACATTTTTCTAAATGTAGACTAAACGATCAATTAATCAAGAAATGACTGCAGATTAATTGATAATAAGAAATAGTCTTTAGTTGCTTGTTAACTTGTTTGCTTGATCACATAATGACGTATTTTTCTTTATTCATATCTTCTCAAGAAATGAGAGTGAACTGAAGTGAGTGTGTGAAGCCGGATCTCTCCTCCCCTCCACACACACTTCCGCTTTTGTGAGTTACAGATGTCAAATGTCACCAAGCTGCTTAACCTGCTGTCACTTGGCTTTCTCAGCAGTTTCCACTGGAGCTAAAACTGTGATCTGCTCTCAGATAGAGAGAGCCTCGCTTCGGAACAGTTTGACATTCATAACGCAAAGCCAGTAAATCAGTGGCTCAGTCAGCGACGCGACATTCAAACACATGTGAATGTGCAAATATCTGCCGTGTTTACTTTGCAATGATATCTGAAAAGATTAAGAAACGTTGCTCTGCGGTAAAGCGTTGTAACACGTTCATCTCCCCATAATCTGAATCTACCGTACATTTGATTCCTATATGTCCGCTACTGCTCTGACATTTACGGCCCTTTTTTTTTTTTTTTTATGAGTCACAAATAGGAGCCACAATGCCGGCTCACCAGTTTCTCAGGAAAGATCTGCTAAACCGACCGAACTTTATTTCACTCCCTTACCTTTTGTAGCGATAGGAGATTTCACATGATTGTGTGGCTGCGTCGTCATAATGCTAGATAGCCTGTACCCAGCTGATGCCAAGCCACATGTTTCTTTAGGTCCAGGACAGACTAACCTGCTCCAAACACTGTTGTGTTTCAGGTACATCTCTTGCAGAATTAGATTTCTTTCATGCTTTGCTTCTGCTTTATCTGAACGACTTTTTCACAACGTCTCAACTTCACTCGTTGCATTAGTTTAAGGCTCTCAAGCTGATTTGTTTCTTGTCTCACGTTGTATCCGTCCATTATCTTTAACCGCTTATCCTGTTCACGGTCGCAGGGGCACTTGAGCCGATCCCAGCTGACATTGAGCGAAGGGACAGGACACCAGACTACCACAGGGCTGAAACACAGAGACAGACAACCGTTCACACCTACGGGCAATTTAGAGGCATCGATTAGTCTAAACTGCATGTCTTTGGACTGTGGGAGGAAGGAAGCCGAAGAACTTGGAGAGAACCCACGCTGCCCCGGGGAGAACATGCAAACTCCATACAGAAGGCCCGTCTGGCCTGGGAAACGAACCCGGACCTCTCTTGCTGTGAGGAGATGGTGCTAGCCACCACACCACCGTACAGCCTCATATGGCATGTGAAACATAATTTTAAAAGCTCTTATGATTGTGGTTATGAAGGGATTAATCCTCAAGTCACATTTCAGTGGAAAAACGTAACCAGAAGTACAAGGAAGCGTTCGACTAAATGTTTTGCTCACACCAAGAATAACATTAAGGACTTGCAAAACAACTGATCCACACCTCTTGCTGTCAGGCAATGATGCTAGTCACCACACCAATACAATACCCAGGAATCCAGTGGGCCGTGCAGTGCAGCAGAGCGAGGTCACTCGTCTGGTTAAATTATAAACTTGTAGCATGTGTTGCTCTTGTAGTGGGGAGTTGTCAGACTGGGGGTAGAGGAGCATTTCTGATCTTAAATAAGTAATGATTGTTTGTATGTTAGATCAGAAATACGAGCCCGATGAGATTGTTGTGCAGTGTTTCTATAGCACTAGCCTGTTAACTGCAACTGGTTGAGCCATTCCTGTGTAGAGGGTGGTCCACTTAAACCGTACACGTTTCATTTAGATGTGCTGCCCTCATCGATTTTACTCTGCAAAGACGGATAGGAAATCCCAGATAGTGAAAGTTGTGTCTCCCCTGTCTCCTGCGTGCTGAATTTGACCTGGAAAGAGCCGGTTCGGGGTTGAAAGATGTATGAGTTGGTTAATATTTGATGTCTTGGGTAGCAACAGACAGTGGACAGTGACAAGACGGTGAACACGACCGTACACGTGGATCATTGGAAAATGAATTGTAAATTCCTATTTTGGATTTTGATTGCTATGAAAATAAAACGGATACAAGATGGAAAGTTATCTGTGTAGTTTAACAGCGCTTTACTTACTATCTGCTCGTAGAAAGCAACCGTCTAATGCTCAGTATGACATGTGAAATGTTATTTTTTTATTAATCATATTATTTATTACTCATGTAAGTATCAGCCTCATCTATAAGTATTACACATATCATTGTTTTAGTATAGGGAGAAATATAATATTAATAGATGGAATAAAACAAATGCATATATTCCTTCAATAGCCCCTTTAATAACCCTGAGAATCTCAGACTGTAATCACTCCATTGCTCCCATCAGACCCCTGTAAAGTGGGCGTGGCTCTGTCTGCAGCAGTATTACGCAGAGCCCTCTCTGTATCTGGTACTACATGTGTGACCAGAACAAGAACAGCCATTGGCAGGGGCGGAACCTACCATCTCCCTCAATTCCAGAGGGGTGGGTGGTCTTAATGCTGCATCCTTTCAAACTGCACGAGCATCCCCATCCTGAGTTATTATTTCTATCGTAGTTAACAATACTTATCTTTTTGTGCTTGGACAAGGTCAGTGTGAGCAATATCGGCTTTTGTGGCTTGTGGTTTCGATTTTTCTTCATCCTTCATCCCTGCTCCTCTTCCTCCCCTCTTTTCTTACCCGGTAGTCCAACGTGGCCAGGTATACGGAGGCAGGCATGACGACAGATGGCTCTTACAATCTGAGGGATTATGTATTAACACGAAGCAGCTCAGATTCTCTTGCACACACACAGGCACGCAGGTGTGTGCACCCACTCACGTAGGCCGGTGGCTATTGTTTTCCCAAACACACAGGCCAGCAGAATGAAGCCGGAGACCCAGTTGGCGCGTGACAGCACAGCGTACACACAGTAGAATCAGAAGAAGAAGAAGAAGAAGAAGAAGGGGTTCAACCGATGGACCGAGAGGCGGAGGACAGTTCTTCTCCGGTCACCATGGAGGTGTGGAGCTTCTCTGCGTCTGAGGGGGAGGAAGAAGAGAAGAGCACTTCCAGTCTTGTGATGGATGAAGTGGTGAAGGAGGAGAAGAAATGCCTCAACAGCAATAACAATAATAATAATAACAACAACAAGAACAAGAACAAGGAAAGCCTTTGCCGGGAGGTGACACAAGGTGAGATGAGCAGGCAGGTAGGAAAAGGCAGGTGGCACAAGAGGCTGGTCGGTGATCTGCTGAGTCCATGTTTAGAAGAGAGAGTTAAGAGAAATGATAAGTAAAGCATAAAGTGTCACGGTTAATGATTACTCTGCCCTGCAGATATTGCTGTCTGAGTGTGTTGTTGCACATTGCCTCTTCAAGGTCTTTGTAATCTAACTGCTTAAATACTTTATAGTGCACGTTGAGCACTGCAGGGTGCAGTGATGTCATTGCATCACACAAATGATGATTACCGTTCAACAACATGCTGCTTGATTTTGAAGCTCTTGTCATAAAACTCCTTTAATTCAACCTGATTATACCCCGAGACATGTACAGTTATGTAAATATATTTAGTTTCCTCTTAGTGGTGTGAAGGTCACTGAGCCTGTGTGTGTGTGTGTGTGTGTGTGTGTGTGTGTGTGTGTGTCTGTGCGCTTGCAGCTGCTGCAGCAGTGTGTTCATGTTAGCAGTTGTCATTGTGAGTTTGTCTTTTGTTATATGGAGGTCAGAGCCACGCAATTAGGGAATAGTACTCTAATGTTACATTTTTCTTATTCTCTGACATGGTTTGAATCACAGAGAGGAATTTGGAAAAAGATAATTAAATTGGTCGAATGAGATTAAAGAAATGACCTGAATGCTCTTCCTAAGAAATGCCTCCTGCTGAATGTTAACCCTTTACTGTGTGGTCTGTTGTTCACAGAGTGCAGGTGCATTAAATGTGCTGCTGCCTTACTTTCAGTTCAGTATTGTCAGTCGTCTTCGCATTTTATGTAATGGAATTTTAGATGGTTGATACATCTCAATGAACACGTGCCAAAAACAGGATAATTTAAGGGTGTTGCCTGGTTTATAGTGAATGGCAGTTATTATCGGTTACAGTGTTTGTGTTTACCATGAACACAGCAGGGCTGGTTGTGCACCTTAAGATTGAAAAAGGTCATGTTCTGCTTCAACAGAGCAGTGAATGTGAGCAGGAAGTCTCCTCTTCTTTGTCTAGATGGGCATGTGGCCGGCACCGACACCAATGTTGCGACACGGGCACCCCTGCAGAGAGACGGGACACTCAAACTAATGCATTTCTTGCCTCTCTGTTATGCAATAGGATAAATAAATTGGATATATTTTCAGTGCATATATACTTTAGCTGTTTTTTGTTGGACACGGTGTTGCGTGTGTGTTATTGTATATTGTCGGGATCTTTTAGGCTAAAATCCAGCTGTAGTTTTTAACCTATTAGTGATGATCTGATAATGTTATTTATAATGTTATTTTAAACTCCCAAATTCTTTATAGTGAGATTAATGTTACCAATGCAAAATACGTCAAGAAATGTCCAGACAGATTAACATGAGGAAGCTCTGTAAAGTCTGCAGCTTCAGAACAGTAGAGATCAAACCTTTTTGGAGCTCATCCATGCCCGTCTTATCCCCACAACACAACAGATGTCATAAGTATAAGTTTGCAAGCTCGACCTGCTCGACCTACCTCGACCTGCTCTACGTGGCCGTCAGGTCGAGCTGAAATACAGACGATATTTCAGCTGGTGAGACTTTGTGGGTGAACAGTTCAGGTGCTTGCTGAAGAATGCATTAATTCAAGTGCAAATAAGCCATTCAATGAACTTTACTTCAACATTCTGGAGGTAGACTGATGTGGAATAATGAATGTACTGCAGATGGAAATGACTGCTGCAGACTTTGCTTTGCAATCCATTTTAAGTACATTAGGATTTGAGGAAGTTGAACTATTATCGGATTAACCTTCGTTCATTTACAGAATGTATTTTGGTAGTTACATGATTAACGTAATTGTGCGTAATTTAGGCTGTAGTTTATTAACGTGATTCTTTGTTGTTGACGATTAGGGTTTTTAAGGTGCATGTGAGTACTGTACTTCTGTTCTACCTTTTTATGTAGGTTTTGATTTAATTAATTAAGAGTCGAGCTTTAAAGTTCTTTCTTGACCTCTTGACAAAACAGCAGTAACCTCTCACATCAAGGTCTATTTAGTAGTTGCTCTGGAGTTTTTGATCATACTCGTGCAGTGCCCGCGCAAATCGTGCCCGTTAGGAACGGACTGTTTGCTTGGCCGGTGTTGCTGCTTGCCGCCAATACTCTCGCCAATTCTGAAGTCGATCGGATGAACAGTTGTCCAAAGAATCGAATGCAGACTGACACCGTTTTATTTAAATAACAGGAACTTTGTCAGCAGATGGAGTTTGATTTGGAGTTGTGAAAGTACAAATGTCCCTTTTTCTGAGCACTTTGAGGACTTCTTGTCCATGTTGGCTTAAAGATTAGAAATGTATCTATATAGCTATCCAGCTATATATAAGTAATTTAATTGATTAAATTAATGTTTAATGATTACTTTTGTGCTTCTGTTGTAATGCTCAATTGCTCAGTTGTGCAAGTTTCCAATATGATTTGTCAGTTTCGTTGTCTTGGTCCATAATATACTTTTGCAGGTGTGGCTTTGACGCATGAATGTCTTTTGGCATTTCTCTGGCAAAGCTTTGTGATTATTTGCGATAAGTTAGAACGCTTTCGCCATCACACTTGTGTTGGTTTTGCATTTCTCTTCAGTCTACTGAGTGAAATGTAAAACAATGTCCTCTATCTTACAGTAGATCAGCTCAGACTGTAGACATGAGTTCTATTATACAAGTCATGGTCAGCACAGTAGTTTAGCCCAAGGTTAGCTTCTTTCCATCAGGCTGATTAGACACTGATGCAGCTACCCAATCCCTGTGTTTCCAGGCCAAATTCAAGGACCGCAATCGAATTACTTTGCTGTCTGGCAACCTCCCGTCTCTTTAGTCCACCAAAGTAAGATTACAAAGCTGATTTTGTTGTAGAGGTATGCAGTGTCATTCAAAAATTGCACGCTAGTCAAGCCAAATGTTGTACATCCTTAAACAGACGAGTCAGATGTTGAAAGCACCGAAATGAGTTCTGCTCCAAAAGCACAAAACTTGCAACGGCAGGTAGCATTACAAAAGAAGCGAAAATTAGAATGACAAACAATGATAACTTGACAGTGTTTGGCTCACGACCAGAACAGTAATTACTTCAATTAAGAACCACATGAATGCTTCAAATGACTCGTTGACCTCACGCAGCGCTTCATCCTTATTGACATTGAAGTGGACACAAACAAATCATTCCCCAGGATGTAAACAAAGCTTCAGGTCAATAGTCAGCCGCTGTTATCCCTTCGACGCTGTGCATGTCCTGCTGGTCTGAACACGTTGTCAGTTTAGCCCCGGCAGTCTCTGCTGATGAGCTATATTGGTATCCAGGAGAACGAGGTCTTTACAGCCATCTAATCCGGGCTGAAAGGGATCAAGCTAAGAGGATCAGTATCTGGCTGACCACATGGAGATGTTGTGGTCTGTAGCTGTACTTGAGGATCTCATTCACACAAAGTCAGTCTTGGTGTGTCCATTTGTGTTTTTACAGGTTAATATTTAATATTTAAACAAATGTGAGCAGGGTATGTTTAGTTTAGTTTTTATTTGTTCGAGAGGGACAATGTACATTGATGAACACTTCAAATTAAAATGTAAATGCACCCAATTACAGCCGCAAGGCTGATTTCCATTGTCTGTCCCCCTGCCAGAATGTACAGGCTGAGTGTCCTAAAGGAAAAGGTCATGCCAAAATGCAATAGTAATAAACTAAAATCAATTACAGTCTGTAGCTGACAATACACAATAGTTCGATAATAAAAAGTTAACAATGGATAAAAAAGGAATCGCATATATATGTATATATGCATATGTATATATGTATGTTTATGTGGGCAGCCTCTCTTCACATGTGTACATGACAATTCCATCTGTGTGTAACAATCAATTGTTAAATTTCACATTTTTAATCAAGAATCCATTTTAACCAGAGCAGTGCCTCCAGTGATGCAACCGAAAACCAAATGTAAAGTTAACAGTACTGGACATGTGATAAACAATATTTACATTGTTGCCTCTTTGTGACAAAACCAGCCCGATCAAAACCTGCCCCTAAAAATACATACTGCTTTTAAAGTCCAACAGCATTGATTTCATCGCCAGATGTATTGTAACATCTACAAAGTAACGGCATAAATGTTAAATACCTGTATTAAAATCAGTTTTCCGTAAACAGTTATTTAAACCTGGTCCTAAAGATACAGAATATTATCAGAAATAAAATTGTGCTCCGTAAACATGTAGACCGATTCACTGACACACACACACACACACACACACACTGACCTGTGGCTCTCTCGTCCTTCCTGCCTGGACAACACAAACGTACTGTTTTTACTTCATACGCATTTATTGCAGTCTTTAATACTGTTTTTTTTTTTTTTAATCTATTTTTTAAAAGGTTTTCCTGTATTTTGCCCTCCCCGGGGTTGAGTGTTGCCTGGAGTCAGTTTGGTAGGATTAGTATGTAATTTGCATGCAAAATAGGTCTACCCAACGAGTGGATAAAAAATTGAATCCATGCAACATCTCAAAAGTAGCTCAATTCCATGGGAAAAATGCAGACCTGGCAACACTGAATAACCCCTAATATGGTAAATGGACTGTACTTGTAAAGCGCTTTTCTGGTCTTCCGACCACTCGAAGCGCATTAACACCACATGTCATCATTCACCCATTCACACCCATTCATACACTGGTGGCAGCGGCTACAGTGCAAGGTGCCACCTGCCCATCAGGACTCTAACTAAAATGTACACACACCTGCGGGAGCATTTTGGGGTTAAGTGTGTTGCCCGAGGACACATCGACATGGACTCGTGGTGCCGGGGATCGAACCGCCGGTGCTCTGATTGAAGGACAACCCTGCTCTACCACTGAGCCACAGTCACCTAGTATTTTCTATTGTTTAAAAACTTAAATAGAGGAAGTGATCAGCCAAAAATAATTGCTCATAGCCCTTATCTCATGATAAATATTCAGCAAGACTTTGTTGTTCTGCTATCCTTTTGTGTGATTTCTACATCTCTTTCTCTTCATTCATTAAATCCCTCTCTCCCTCTCTCCCTCCTCCCTCAGTGCTGTGTTCAGACAGAGTGGGCCAGGTCACCAAGACATATCATGACATCAAGGCAGTCACCCACCTGCTGGAGGAGGTAAGAGACGCACAGCAGATGAACGGGATTAGAGAGGATTCCAGTTATCCGTTTGTCACCGCTTACAAAAAGTACAAAAAGTACATTACATTTGGTTAAAAAACATACCTGCAATTGTGATTGCCTCACTGAAACTGTGATTGTATATATATGTGTATATATATATATGTATATGTGTATGTATGTATGTACTATATCACTATGCATTATTCCGTAAAATAAAAGTAGAATTTATGCCTTTGCAGAAAGAGCGGGATCTCGAGTTAGCGGCGCGAATCGGTCAATCCCTCCTGAAGCAGAACCAAGAAATAACCGCACGCAATGAAATGCTGGACGAACAGCTTGAGATCGCAAAGGAAGAGGTACAAACACACCTCACGTCACAAGTGTCTCACTGAAATAAACGACCTGTGCCACGTTGTCAATGTGGTGCTTACTGATACAGTCGGGTGATGTTCTGTACTGCATGTTCTAGATCGCTCAACTACGCCATGAGCTCTCGATGCGAGACGACCTCCTTCAGTTCTACGCCAGCACCGAGGAGATCGAGAACGCTGAATCACAATCACCGTGGGTTTACACACACACACACACACACACACACACACACACAGAAGACAGAGGTTGATTCATATAGTATTAGTTTGTTTCTAAACAAAGTGTAGGTTTGTGACTTAGTCAGTATAGATATCCTTAAAAAAGAGAATCATTGTAATTCATGCTGCTAACTTCTGTTCTATCACCACCGTTGAACAGAAAACACACATTTTGAAATAAACATGTTTGTTTCGTTCAGTTTTTTTCTCTTTGTGAGAAAAACATAAAGATGTCTGAATGCAGAAGATGTATCTTTTCTTGTTATAGAATAAAAAGGAACGAATCCTGCAGTTCACTCAGCAACTTCGTCCACTACGACTTCCTGCAGCAGAAGCTGAAGGGTTTAGAGGAGGACAACCGCAAACTGCGATTAGAGGTACGCAATGCTGCAAAGCTCTACCGCATATGAGATGAAATGAGACACTTATAAATGTTCATCGTGATTCTTACGGCCATGTCTGTATAAAATCTAGCTTTTTATTTTGTACTGTACATTTGAATAACAATAATAGGTCGTTTTTTTAATTGCCTCCAGTGTTAAAAGTATGACATTTTGACATTGTTTGCATCGTTTTGTTCCTCCAGGCCAGTGACCTCACAACAGAGACGACCAACTACGAGGAGCAAGAACAGGAGCTGATGATGGTGTGTGTGGAAGAACTCTGTAAGTGGTACAGTCTTGTTTCAGTATATGAAAGTAACACAGAGACGTCCGTATGTGTACTGACCGGACTTGTCTGTTTCAGCATCTGTTAATAGGCGGGTCGTCGACCTGTCTGATGAGCTAGCGCGGAAGGTGGAGGACTCTTTCCGACAACAGGAGGAGATCAGCTCGCTGCTCGCACAGATTGTTGACCTGCAGGCCCGTTGCAAAGGGGTGAGAGAACGTTTCCATGTTCTCCAGGAGTGTCAAATCCCAGTAAAACTTGTCTAACTGTCTTCTCCCTGTGTCTCTAGCTCACCCACGAGAACGAGGAGCTGAGCCAACACCTGGGTGCCTCCCGTGAGAGCCAGCTAAATCTTCAATCGGAGGCAAGACACTTACACTCCCTCTGACAAAATACACTCACTTGGAGTACAATTAGGATCCCTTCACATCCAGCAACACTTGTGTGTGTAAAACTGATGCGTCTCCGCTTGTGGCCTTCATTAGTTTGATTCTAGCTTGAGCTCAATTTTGTTTTCCAAAATAAATACAATTAGAATGTGGACACCTAAAACATTCACAAACCACAATGCTCAGAAACGAAAAAGAAGGTAATCAATCAAAGAAACCAACAATCTGAGTGCTTTGGAAGTCGGCATTCCCCGCTCAACCAGTCCGTCTGCTGTCAGACTTTCAGAGCCCTTGCCAATCTTCTGAGACAAAAGTAATGATTTTATGTTTACTACAGACCTCTGTCAGTTTGATGAGAAGGTCTGTGTGTAACACAGCACTGCACATACGTTTAGTTGATATTTTCTTAATATGCAGATCAGCTACCCTAAGAGCCTTCCCATGGTTTCCCAGAAACCCCTTCTCTGTGTCGACCACACAGACCTTTTTATATGTGTCTTTGCAGATACTTAATCGTGACTATGTCAATATTCAGCTCTGAATTATACAATGTATTCTTCTTGTACTACAATTTGACAGATATGTCTCCTTTTGTCCTGCAGCTCAAGGACCTGCGGGACAAGTACTCTCAGTGTGAGGACATGCTCCGCGAGGCCCGAGAGGACATTAAGAACTTGCGTAATAAGAGCCTCCCCAACAGCACGGTGCAGCGCTACACCGCGCTGGCCTCTGTCCTCCCCATGGACTCACTCGCAGCCGAGATAGAGGGCACCTTCCGCAAAGGCCTGGACACCCCGGCCCCCTCGGAGTACAAGTGAGTCTGTGAAGTAGCAAGTTTAATAGTTATTCAAGATTGGACTGAAATCTTAAGAGATTGTTTCCTCTGATCTGATACCTTGTTCTTTCTCTCGGGTCCGCCCCTCCCAAGTTGACTGACTAAAGCTTACTGTGGAACGAAGCAGCTAGCTAGATGACTGTGGCATACAATGTATTTTATAAGTTGTTCATGTTTGGATCTGTCTTTATGCCCACTCACCCCCCAGTTTCTCCCCGCAGGAACCACCCGTGGCGTGTGTTTGAAACGGTGAAGGTGGTGAACAAGGCCGTGAGGCTGCGGTCTCGGTGCCACTCCCCAGGGCTGCCGGGCTCCAGCCCGGTGTCGGCTCACTCCAGTTGCATCAGCACCCCCCGGACCAGCTACTATGGCTCAGACAATGCTAGCCTTACTCTGGAAGACAAGCCCAGTTTCAACAATGCTCCGAAAGAAGACAACAGGTGTGTTTGAGTGTGCGTTAATGCACATACTGTACGTGCACTATAATATCAAATGGAAAATTCCAGATCTATTTTGATCATTTTATATGCATTGTATTTTTTCTTGATGACAAGTTCAAATGTTTTTGCCACATGAGTTTATGATGATGAACCCACTTAAAGGTCCAGTGTGGAAGCAGCTAAAGCAAGCGTCACATCTATTCACCACAGACTCAGTGGGCCGAAGCGTCTGGGCCAGCCGGGCACACCAGGAGGCCAGGACCTCGAAGCCGCCTTGTGCAGCCTGTCAGCCCGCCAGCAGAACCACTCCTCTGAGCGGTCCTTCTTCGACGTGGAACGTGAGCGTAAACTCCACGCCTTGGCAGCAGACTGCGAAGAGGCCGAGGGCTCCAGTGGCTTCCTGACGCCAAACGACAGCCTGGTCTCCAGCCCAGCAGCGTCGACAGGCACCAACTACTCCAACGGCAGCTCACGGCCCTCCTGTGGCTCCTCAGGAGGATCCAGGTCCTACCTGCCCGACCGCCTGCAGATTGTCAAACCTCTGGAAGGTAAAAGTCTCCGCCGGATACTGTCTCTCATCAATTTCTTGGAGCTTATCCCAGTTTAAGTGGAGTCACGATGGAGCACAAGCATGCTGATCATTGTTGACATTAGTCTGTGATCCTAATTAAATACCACCGGTGCAAAGCTGTTCGGCTCTTAAAAGTAGAAAGTATTCTTTTACAAGAATAGAAGCAAGGCAACAGTTCAAGTACTTTTTTTTCCATATCTCAAATAATTCATAGTAATTTCTAACTGTATAAATGACACGTGACTGCCTCGTATTACAACGTTATTCGACCTCGGTTCCCTCTGACTCTCTCGTCGTCAGGCTCGGTGACTCTGCATCAGTGGCAGCAGTTGGCCAAACCAAACCTGGGAGGCATCCTGCATCCACGTCCGGGCGTCCTGACTAAAGACTTCCGGGAGCTCGAGGTCGACATGCAGCACGTCTACAGTCTGAACGACCTGGAGGAGGACGAACCGGACCTGTCGCAGCTCTCTGGAGCACACGGCATGGGTAGGACACACTGCACTCATGCTGCACAGTCCCACTCGCTCCATCATTCTCTTCGCCTCATTAAATCTCCTCTAAAATCCATGCTTCCTGCTTTCTCTGCTCCTTTATATTGTTCATGTCCCATTTATTGAGTGGTATTACTTCAGCTACCAGCTTCATTAGCTCTTGTAGTTCCTCATTGAACCTAACTTTCTCCATGTGTAGTTTAATGTGCATTTTCTCCCTCCATGACCTCGCAGTCTCTCCACCTGGTCCCAACCTCCCTCAGACCTCTCCCACACATACCATTACCACCTGCCAAGTCCTGCAACCCTCCCTTCTCATCCCATCCTTATCCACTAGGTAAGAGTACACACACTGTGAACTATTTGTTTAGCATGCTTTGTTATTGTTGTGAATGGGATGTACATGAGTTACTGTTAACTTTGAGCAGGGAACTCCTGAAAAAGAGTAATTTTGGTTCATTAATCCACAACTTGTTTTTGCAGATTTCCTGTCTTCCGTCATGCTTTTTCTCTCCCCTTAAACGTCTGCTCTTTACCCCCGACAGTGGCAGAAAACATCTGTCGAGGCTCTTCCTCCAACTCTAAAAGGCGCCTTCGGGGCAAAGTAAGAGTCGAGGGTTATGGATACACTATGAATACTGGATTTTATTATTAATGACGGAGGCACGGGACCAATGTCTGTTTAACTAAATAACACCATGGTTAATAATAATAAAGGTATTAGAGCTGTTAAACATTTGCAATGACCTAACGGAAAAGATCATCACTACTGTGCTTCTGTCGCCTCCTAACAACACTAACTTGTTTGTACTCCACATATTCTCAGCTCGTTATGTTTTAACGTCTCCTGACCTTCCTAGGTTTTCATCTCGGCAAACCACCAGATCCTGTTTCATCACCGCTGCCACGCTAACATTGTGTTCATCCATCTTACAGCAACGATAGGCAGACACTAACAACAAATGAACTCAATCAAACTTTTAACATTTTATTGTTTTCTTTTCATGATTTGGGAATGAGCTTGCATGTTTGTGTGAGAAGAAACAGCTTTGTTTTGTTGTCTATTGTGTTTCTTTAAGTGTTGTTTTTTTTCTGTTTGCAGGCTTCGCTCTTTCGGGCTGCCATCTTGTCGGAACTGTGAGCTCGTGAGCACTTCATCGCCATCCCACCAGCGGCCCTTTGGCCAAGGAGGCCGGACCGCCGCCAACACCTCAACTCTAACCACTTCATCACTGGGACTCCTGCAGCTGCTGCAAGAGCGCGGCATCTCAGCCTCGCCTCATCCGCACCACCACCTGCACGACAACCATAGTAACAAACCTTCACCCTCCACAGTAACAGACAAATGTGGAGACTCCCCACTGGACAAAGAGGGACGAAGGTACATTTTCAGTTTGAACTTGGTCAAGAAGCTTCAAGGTCTGGGGTTGCACAGAGTGGCAGCCTGGGGGATGACGGGCCGCAGTGTTAAAGAGAAGCAGTCGGTCGTCCTCTGAAAGTTTGATGAGGACTGTTCATCACTTCCTGCTTCCATCATTCACCGTAGGGACTCTACATCCAGCCGTGTGATCCCCACTGTGCTGTTCAGGGCCCACAGCTGTGGTGTCTTGAAAACATAAGCCACAGAATGTGCTAGAGCCATACTTTAAGTTGTCGGTAGTGACCAGTAATATTATTTTCGATGAATGTGTGTGTGTGTGTGTGTGTGTGTGTGTGTGTGTGTGTGTGTGAGTGACATCTTCATCTCAGGAAAATCAGCTGATTATCACCAGTTTCTTTGACTTCTTTTTACACAAAAAAAGAAACATGAAGAAAAAACATTTTTATACCGTGTATCGTGATTGTCATTTTTCACGTTTTCCCCGCCGCTGGTTTAAAAAAAAAACAACAACTCATCATCAGTTTCCAAAGTGGAACATCACTTATGTGTAAATAACAAAGTTGTCATTTGGGAAAATTAAAAAGGACTACGTGCAGTAAATTATTGTTTATTGAAACCACAAACTGAAGCGATGCTGTCACACTGAACATCTTTCAAATGGACTAAAATACACTCCGTCTTCCTGCTTATTAGCTGCTACATTGAGATTAGCATGTTGTATATAAGCTTGTCAAATATACTCAGTTAAACACTTGAGACGTTGATCAATTAGCATTGCGATGACGGACGATGCGCCGACTAAATTGGAACATGTTGATGATGTTGACGTCCTGCAGCCGTCTGCCCTAAAGTGCACCACCTGCTTTCACGTAGCACATGTTGTTATGGCTGCTGAGTCACCTGTTGGACATTTCTGAACTTCATCCTGACCAAAACCTCACCAAGATGAAATCAGGTTTGCCGTGCTGCATCAAAGAAGGTGAATGGGTTTTTTATAAGCAATATGTACATTTACTGCACTGTGTTCACTGAGAATCTTGCTGAATTTCACGTCATCAGGAATTTTTAAATAGCTGGAAGGTAAATTAAATCAAAAATAGTTTCAGGCATTCAAAGTGAGTTCTCCATGCGGTCAAGAATCCTTATTTAAAGACAAGCAGACAAGTGGTCCTAATTATTTAAACAGCATGTTTCTTTGAAATCTGTCTGAACTGTCAACTGTAGCAAAAAGGCGTATAGGATACTGAGGATTAAAAAGGGAAGAAATAAACACAGCTTTTAAAAATGTGTGTTCTGACTTAAATCAACCAAAGCACTGTTTCTCTGCACTGCTGCTTGCTCTGTTCTGTGTTAGCATCACAGCTGTATATGTCGGTGTGTGTTTGAGTTGTACCACCTGTGAATAAAACTTCCAGCACAGTTTTAAGCGTCTCTTGTTTACCTCATGGCAGCGATGAAGACAGAGATGACTATTGTGATAGTTCTGCAAAATGGTTTTATTTATAAAGTTGCAGTGAAAGTAGAACATGGACTTTATGTAAAATGTGAACAAAAAGCGGGAAGTCTGAGCTCTCGGGTCGTCGTCGTGGCTCATTCTGCGTCCCGGCGTCCAAAGTCCACCCAGCCCTGGTAGTCCCGATCTGACATGCACTCAGTGTTCACCATCCCTGTGAACAAACCATTCCTACATCAACCCACACACACGGGTTCAGTAGACAGACCTGAGCACCTCCTTGGATCTCTACCCACTCACTACAAAATGTCACAACAAAACAACAATCGGAGAACTTTCACACCCGGACACGCAGCATACCTGAGATTGCTTGCATTATTTGCTTGGTTATAATCTCCCGTTCGTCCTCAGACAGGTGTGCCCGTCTCTCCATCCGTGCTGAGGGAGCCTGAGGCGCCGGCTCCTGTCTGCCTGCCGAGCCTCTCACCGGCTCCCTCTTGGCTAGAAGCTGCTGTAGTAGACGAGTCTCTTCAGGGTTTCCAGCTGCAGAGGGTGGTAGCAGTGCAACCAGCAGTGCAAACACCACAATAACCTTCCTTGACATATCTGTGTCAGAGAAGAGACAAAACCAGTTATATTTACTCAAAGTGACAAAATAACTCTCTAAAAATGAATGAAAGGAGTTGCTCGTTACCTGTGAAAAGTGTTTGAAATATGTGCACAACAGAATACAACAGGTGTGATGCTTCTGGTGCACACCGAGCAGATCGGCTCCTTTTATACCACAAGTTTGGTGTCGGCGATTACGGCTTCAAATCAAAGAAAGATAACAGCGTTCACTGATTGATTGGTAGACGGATGCATTGGGAGGATGTGCGTTGACCATGACATCCGCAAATCCATTATTATGCTTTTCACTTACCTGGAAAGGCCCGTTTTGCACGGCAGTAACAATAAAACGAGTCAATGTGTTTCCTGTACATAATAAATCCAATACTCGTACCCGTGGAGCCTTCTCTGACCAACACAGAGGATCTGATGTTCACGTGTAGCCACTGAAAACAGGGTTGTCTGGTGTTCTCAACCGGCTTCCTCTTATTACATATTTTCACTTTAAACATTAGCAGTTACTATTATTCTAAATATTCACACATGTTGCAACGAAAGACAGACAAATTCATTATTTCCTATTTCCGTGTAGCATATAAGTGCCTGAATTTCAACCCCGTACTGTAGACACAGTTTTTCTCTTTTCATTTTAAGAAGAGCTGGATGATGAATCTCATTTGACCAAAAAGCAAAGTGTTTATAATTTAGTGATTGGTTGGAGGTGATCATTGCCTTCACAGTGTCACGCTGTGGCCTGGACTTTCCAGATGACGTGCACTCAACCCTTTTAGTGAACATACTACAGAGCGTGGTTGACATACTGTATAGATTTTCTACAAGTGGCTCAGTTATTGTGTATCTAGTTGCCACAGACAACATATATATAACGTCAGAAAAACAACATGAACACGAGAGTATGTTCGACCAGGCAGTGAAAGCATCACCTGGCAGATGGATTTGCTTGCAATGAGTGACTATGTGCTATGAAAAGCTGAGAATGTGCATACACGTGTTCATCTGCAGACCAAACCTCAGGATGTAAATCTGAGTAGCCTTACAGTAAACTCAACGCCTGACACATCATCCTGTCGGTTATTGGGACAATGTTAGTGGGCTTTGTTTGACCTCAGTCTTTATTTCTAATAACCCTGAGGTGGAAAGACATTCACTGATCTTATCATTTCTGATCTGCACTGGCGGGACACACACCCATCACGGAAATGTGATAAACGTCTCAGACGCCACATACTTTAGACAGCTTGTTGCCAAGATCAGACTCCACGTTATCAGGCCAGGCTGCAGCAGATGCTCACCACTGGTGAAAGGTTACGATGAGTCTACTTAGTTAGACCACAATTTCTTAATCCTCAATGCTGCTTTAAGCTGCTCATCTCTCTGGCCTGGTTTCAGTTTTTGGTCCCGTTCAGGTCCCATAAAGTTCATAATAACATAACATATTAAAAAGAAAGGCTAGACTGACATGTTGTTCATCCTGAGTTGGAAAATCCACAATATTACACTCAAAACAGATCGACAGTTACACAATTTATTGCAGTAAAAAACAAGTGAAATGGATTGAATACATTTGCTGAGCTTGTGATAAAAACCTTGTTAATCGTACAGATTAATAAGTAAAAGTAACCGGACTAATAACAAGTTGCTGAACTTGTTGACTTCATCTAAGTTTCACATTCAAACAGGTTTTGGATTGTCCAGTTGTATCTGTAATGTATGGAGTGCTTTTTCAAATAAATGGTCTTTAACAATGGATGTGAGTAAAAGTCACATTATAGCGGCGTGCAAAGTGTCAACTGTTACTGTCCTCTGAAGGGTGTGGTCCACAGCAGATTGAGTCGATGTCTATCACTTCAAGAATTTTAATTATCATCGCGTGTCAGATAAGCCATATGAAAAAGGTGCGACAGTGTTGTGTGTGTCTGTGTTTGTGCATTTTGGGCGTTGAGTTCACAGCCATGTTTGGAAAGACATAATTCATAACAATCATCTACCCATCAACTTCTTCCTCCACTCCCTTCTTAGGAAGCGTCTTAGGGAAATAAATAAATATGGCTCTGGTCCAGGTGCAGAGAGAGGGTGGCTGCTATGAAACTTGTTGAGTTCCGCTGTGCTCTTGATGAATGTGCTCTTGGCACACTTGTTGATGCAGCTTGCAGGATGTCTGAGGACAGCTGTGCACACTCTTACAGTAGTTGCAAAGCAGACAAACTGCAAAAAACACAATGTTAATACTGCTCCTGTTAGAAATGCCTGAGCAGACGTTCTGAAAGAATAAACATTATCTTCATGCTTTATCAGTCTGGTCATACATCCATACATCTATCAAGTTGCCTAACTTGATTTTCAACCTGTCTTTCACGTTGTAAACATACTAGTGAACACACCTATTAGGGCTACACATCTGCATACCACACATTGTTGTGGCAGGGGACCAGTCTGTCTCCTTCCCTCAGAGTCCTATAAAAATGTCCACTTGTCTCAGGCAGAGGCACTCCTTGGACACTCTCCAGCTCGACTCATCACCTCCAGGCGATCTCACCTCCACCTCTCATCATGTCTGCCCGCCAAAGCCGCAACTTCAGCTCCCGCAGCTTCAGCTCCCGCAGCATCTCCAGCGGCAGCGCTGTCAGCATGAGCAAAGAGATGCAGCTCGTCGGAGGAGGCCAGACCAGAATCTCGATCGCCGGTCCCTCCTGGAGCCGCGCGCCCAGCGTGTACGGGGGCGCGGGAGGTTTCGGGACCCGCATCTCGCAGTCAGTCTTCTGCTCCGGGCCGCTGACCTCGTACGGCGAGACTACCGTGATCAACAACGAGAAGGTGACCATGCAGAACCTCAACGACCGCTTGGCCACCTACCTGGAGAAGGTAAGACTTGATGATGAATACTACAAATTGCTGCACAATCCTCTGAATCTTTCTTAGATCTATACGGTGATTATAGAAAATGTTGTTTTTGTTTCACCTGCACGTGCAAATACATTTAATGGGGTTTAATTAATGGACAGGAGCTGCTGCCTGATGATGCACAACATTATGATCTGTCCAAACACACACACACACACACACACACACACACATATATGTGCAGGGAGGCATGCACACCCACAAAAGATAAACGTTAAAGGTCTGTCTTAAAACAATGGTCAGGTCAGGGACATTGAAACAGGTTTTGATTGCTGTAATAAATCCTCCTGTTCTGGTCTTTAATGCACCTTATTCTGTGCATAAGTATATTGCAGTATATCTGAAGTTGATATGCTGCTTCAGATTTAGACAATTTACGAACCTCACATTTGCTTCAGATAAACTGTAGAATGTTCAAATCTCAATATGTCCTTGTTGTATTCATTTAGCTGGATGAAGACTTGGCTTCCATTGTCTCTCATCACTATCAGTCCACGGTGTTTGTGTTTAGTCAACTGAAATTGATCGAATACAGATGATCATAAATGTCGGGGGGCTCTGGACATTTGGGTGCAGTGGTGGAAAGAAACTATAAGTACATTAACTCAAGTACTGACTGTACTTTATTACAACACAACAGGAAAAAAAATAATCCAAGCTACATTTTTATCAGCAATTGATTATGGTGACATTTTATATGCAAATGTCTGCTCTAACACTGAATGAAAGTTCTTTGACTGATGCATTTTGCTGGTTTTGTTTTAAGTCTGTATGTTGTCTCTTTAATGTGACATTTTGAATGTGTTTTTTGTCTTGTCGGTTATTTGTGTTTTTATTTGGTAAAACTTGTACGTTGCCATCTTGGCCAAGACCCCCTTTTGAAAGAGGTTAAAAATCTCAGTGCGATTATTCTGGTTAATAATAAAAGTAAATGAAGTAAAGGATTTGAACATTTCTTCCATCAAATATTTCATGATGAAAATAAATGTGATTGGCACAATATCTTAGTTTTTTGTAGACATACATTTGGCCTGTATGGATTCATCTTAAACAAAAACAAACCCAGGGAAAAAGTAATTAGCTTCCAAGCGCCACCCAGGAGTTACGAACCAGAACTAAAGCATTTCATGAATTTACACGTCTGTCGTCTGTCTCATGTCATCTGTGATTGCACGATGTGTCACCCTCCGGTTGCGTGTGCAGGTGCGCTCGCTGGAGGCAGCCAACAGCAAGCTGGAGCTGCAGATCAGAGAGTTCTATGAGAAGAGAGCTCCTCTCTCCCAAGACTTCACCGGCTACTACGCCACCATCACTCAACTACGAGCTCAGGTACCGCTTACATTTTACAGAAATGATGTAACAAACAACACTGTTCTACAACGCCATCAACTACAAACACAGCAACAGCATGAGTGTGGTGTCCAAACAAGGAAAGATTACCAAAGCAGGCAACCAACAGTTTATGCACATTTAGAGACACAAAAACACTTGTAACTTAATCATCTATTGTGGCTTTCAGTCAAAACCACTGAAATATACAGTGTTATGTTTTAGTGTGTATTGTGTACAAATGACACGTAATGTACTGATGTGTATGAATGACATAGACTCACATTTAAATTTTCTTCCCATAGATCATGCAGAGATATTCAGAGAATCAAGGTGTCATCCTGAAGGTTGACAATGCTCAGCTGACTGCAGATGACTTTAAAATAAAGTAGGTGTGCCCCCCTCTGTTGCTTCATGCCAAAATCTACATGCGTCAGTTTAGTCTGTAGCTTTTTGAAAAAAGTTAAACAATTTTATGTATTTGTTTATTATGGTTGGAACAACATTGTCGGGCTCTGCAACATGGAGAAAATCTAAAGTCACATTAATGTGGGCAAATACCTCAATATTAAAATCTTAGGGTTGACTGTTGGTGCCTTTACAAACTATTTACAGTATGAGATTTCTGATAAATTATCATCAGTAATGTGGACATAATGACTAAGAACACTCTGGTTAATGCATGAATGCTGTGATGCAGCATTTAAAACCAGAAAAAACACTCTTATGCCATTGTACGATGTTATGATGTCCAAAATATATCTCATCTCATAGCATGATATCAATATAATGTCCATATGTTTTCCAACCCTATAACATTTACATCTACTGGAACAGACTAGAGACTCATTTTATTCAATTACAACTACACGTGGCCTCGTTCTTCAGGTATGAGATGGAGCTGAACATACGTACGATGGCGGAGGCCGACGTGTTGCGTTTCCGAGGGGTCAGGGATGGACTGACTCTTGATGCCAGTGACCTGGAGCTGCAGATAGAAGGTCTAACAGAGGAGCTGGTGTTCATGAAGAAAAACCAACAGGAGGTGAGATCCACTTGACTTTTAATGATGACTTTTCATGTGCAATGGTGCCATCTGTTGGTCGCGGCAGCCACGACTCACACACCTGCAGAGGGCCAAGAGATAAACGTGTCCATGTTGCAGGAGCTGCGTCAGCTGAGGATCCAGCAGAGCGGCACGGTTAATGTAGAGGTGGACAGCGCAAAGTCTGTTGATCTGACTTTGGTCCTGCAGGAGATGAGGGAGCAGTATGAAGCTGTGGTGGTGAAGAACAAGCAGGAGCTCGAGAAATGGTTCCAGTCTAAGGTGAGATGCCAGAGCAACATGCCTGAAGATGTAGAAACTATGATGATGAAAAGATCATGATGTCATGGGATTTATTATATTTTTATACGTGTGTGTGTGTAAAAAAAAAGGTGGAGACTCTCCAGACGCAAATTATGACATCTTCACATGAGGTGAAGACGTTTTCCACAGAGCTGTCAGAGCTGAAGAGGACCTACCAGAGTTTGGAGATAAGTCATCAAAGCACCTTCACAGAGGTAATGAGCCGAACTGAGTGAATGCAAAAACACACTTTCACTGTGCAGGTCGGTGCACGGTTATCTGATAGCTCTTAGATTAAAGGGTGGGTTCGCATTTTTTCAAGTCTGTCCTAAAACAACACTCACATGTCCATATTTACATTGAAACCGTCTGTGCTTGCTGTTCATATTCTTCCTGGTCATAATGGGCATTTCAAGATCTTTTCCTACCGCTCTTCCAATGTAAGTGACGGGGTGCTCTGCAAAACTAATGTTTATCTGAAGTGAATACTCCTCCGCGAATCGCCACCTTAACGTGGTGGAGGAGTTTGAGTGGCTCAGTGATCCTGGGAGCTATGTTGTCCGGGGCATTAGCCCCTGGTAGGGTCTCCCAAGGCAAACAGGTCTCGGGGGAGAGCCCAGACTAAGAGCGGTTCAAACGACCCTAATGATAAGCAGCCCACGGACTTTAGCCACCTCGCCCGGACCAGGGAAACCGGGGCACCCTCCCGGAGCCAGACCCAGGAGGGGAGCTCGTCGGCGAGCGTCTGGTGGCCGGGCCCCCACTCACGAGCCCCCGGCTGAGCGCCGCTGTGTTGGAGTTCTCCCCGGAGAACGAGAGGGTCGCCTCCATGCGCCTACGGGTTGCGGGGAGCAAGGCTCTGACTGTGGTTTGTACTTACGCACCAAACAGCAGTTCAGAGTATCCGGCCTTCTTGGAGTCGGTGGGAGGGGTCCTGGAAAGGGCGCCACCTACCGACTCCATAGTTCTCCTGGGGGACTTCAATGCTCACGTGGGCAATGATGGAGAAACCTGGCGGGGGGGTGATTGGGAGGAACGGCTTGCCGGATCTGAACCCGAATGGTGTCTCGTTATTGGACTTCTGTGCTTGCCACGGTTTGGCCATAACGAACACCATGTTCGAACATAAGGTGGCTCATAAGTGTACCTGGTACCAGAACACCTTAGGCCGGAGATCAATGATCGACTTTGTAATCGTATCATTTGATTTGCGGCCGTATGTCTTGGACACTCCGGTGAAGAGAGGAGCAGAGCTGTCAACTGATCACCTGGTGGTGAGTTGGATCAGATGGCAGGGGAACCGGTTGGAAAGACCCGGCAAGCCCAAACGTGTAGTGAGGGTGAACTGGGAACGTCTGGCGGAGGACCCTGTCCGGGAGGTCTTTAACTCCCACCTCCGGAAGAAATTCTCTCACATCCCGAGGGAGGTTGGGGACATGGAATCCGAATGGACCATGTTCAAAGCCTCTATTGTGGACGCGGCCGCTAGGAGCTGTGGCGGAAGGTCATCGGTGCCTGTCGTGGCGGCAACCCGAGAACCCGGTGGTGGACACCGGAGGTGAGGGAAGCCGTCAAGTTGAAGAAGGAGACCTTCAAGGCCTGGTTGGCCCAGGGGTCTCCCGAAGCAGCTGACAGGTACCGGCAGGCCAGAAGGGCTGCAGCTGCGGTGGTCGCGAATGCTATAACTCGGGCATGGGAGGAGTTTGGGGAGGCCATGGAGAAGGACTTTCGGTTGGCCTCAAGGAGGTTCTGGCAAACCATCCGACGGCTCAGGAAGGGAAAGCAGGGCTTACCCCAGGCTGTTCTCAGCAGGGGGGGGGAACTGCTGACCCGGACAGGGGACATCGTCGGGCGGTGGAAAGAGCACTTTGAGGAACTCCTAAACCCGACCAACATGTCCTCTGCAGAGGAGGCAGCGCCTGAAGATCTAGGGGGAGGCTCACCCATATCCCTGACAGAGGCCGCTGAGGTAGTCAAAAAGCTCCTTGGTGGCAAGGCGCCGGGGGTGGATGAGATCCGCCCTGAGATGCTGAAAGCGCTGGACATAGTTGGGCTGTCCTGGCTGACACGCCTCTTCAATGTCGCATGGGGGTCGGGATCAGTGCCCATGGACTGGCAGACCGGGGTGATGGTTCCCATTTTCAAAAAGGGGGACCGGAGAGTGTGCTCGAATTACCGGGGTATCACACTACTCAGCCTCCCGGGGAAGGCTTATGCCAGGGTGCTGGAAAGGAGGCTCCGACTGTTTGTCGAACCTCAGATACAAGAGGAGCAATGCGGATTCCGTCCCGGCTGTGGAACAGTGGACCAGCTCTTTACCCTCGCAAGACTACTGGAGGGGTTCTGGGAGTTTGCCCAACCAGTCTACATGTGCTTTGTGGACTTGGAGAAGGCTTTCGACCGGGTCCCTCGGGGGTTCTTGTGAGGGGTGCTGCGGGAGTATGGGGTGCCGGACCCATTACAACGGGCGATCCGGTCTCTGTACGACTGCAGTAGGAGCTGTGTCCGCATCCTCGGCAATAAGTCAGACACGTTCCCGGTGGGTGTTGGCCTCCGCCAGGGCTGCCCTTTGTCTCCGGTCCTGTTCATGACTTTCATGGACAGGATATCTAGGTGCAGCCTGGGGGTGGAGAACGTCAGGTTCGCCTCTCTGCTGTTTGCAGATGATGTGGTCCTGTTACCCTCCTCGGATCGTGACCTCCAGCATTCACTGGGGCGGTTTGCAGCCGAGTGTGAAGCGGCGGGGATGAGAGTTAGCGCCTCCAAATCTGAGGCCATGGTGCTCTGCCGGAAACCGGTGGATTGCTCCCTCCAGGTGGGGACGGAGTGCCTACCTCAAGCGAAGGAGTTCAAGTATCTCGGGGTCTTGTTCACGAGTGAGGGTAAGATGGAGCGGGAGATCGACAGACGGATCGGTGCGGCTGCAGCAGTAAAGCAGGCGCTGCACCGGACCGTCTTGGTGAAGAGGGAGCTTTCATATTTAAAGGCTCATCAGACTCCAAAACCTGCACAATGGACTGTAATAGTCACGCACAGGATTTTACAAATATTTTATCTTTCGACACAAGGACAGCGAAGTAAACAGTAGAAATACTGCGTTCATGTTCTGAAGTACTCTACCAGGAATGTGCGCTTACATGTATTTGACTGGAAAGTGCTTTCATTAAGTATTGTGCAGATACATCACGAAACTGTAGTAATAATTCCCGTCTGTTCTGCAGTTTCAGTGCCTGAAGCAGAATATGGAAGAAGTGAAGGGCCGATACAGCGTTCAGCTCAGCCAGCTGCAGCTGATCATCAACTCGCTGGAGACTGACCTGCAGCAGCTGAAAGTCTCCATCGAGCAGCAGCAAACTGAGTACAAGCTGCTGCTGGACATCAAGATGAGGCTGGAGATGGAGATCGCCGAGTACCGCAGGCTGCTGGACGGAGAGCTGCGTGAGAGGGGGCAATATGAAATAAAGAAGTGAGTGTTTCGTTTCTTTAAAGTGAAAGCAGCAGGCCAACGGGTAAATCAATAAAATATGTTTTGAAATAATGTTCCCCTCTCTCCACAGGGCTGTGGTCATCGCCAAGGTTGTGGAAGTGGAAGTGGAAGGTACGAATCCCAATCGTGAACGAAACCAGCTTTCTGATCTTGTAACAGTGTCATCGACTCAGGCTTGTTGTTGACTGTCGTCTCACGATGCATTATGTTTGTTCTCCACCTCTGCAGAGCATAAACCCCACATCGAGAGGAGAGTGAAGACCATCGTGCAAACGATTGTTGATGGAGAGGTGGTCTCCTCCGATGTTGACGTCAAAGTGGAGGCAGTTCAGTAACACCGTTGTTCACTTCTGCTGCCACAACACCTTTTTGCTGACTCAGACAATACTTGCTTAATGAATGAATGATTCACTAGAGTCAGCGGTTAACTTGTAATTTGAAGTTGACTGTATACAATGTGTAAGTGCTTTAAGGGGGTTACTTTGCCTTTCTTTCCTTTTCTTTTTATTGCAATGATATAGCAAAGTTGCATTAAGTGATGATCTTTCCTTCATGGATGCTTACTCTGTTGTGAGACCTAAAAATTATTAAAAAGCCTGAAAGCAAAGATGAAGATTTGTTTTCCTGATCACAAACATGTATTTAAATACAGAAACGTTGATTATACTTTGATAATGGGTCTTCCATTGGCAAAAATTCTACTTTTTGTATGATATCCAAATAACAGAGGAGTTTTAAACGGGTTACAAGATTCAAGCAAGTTTTGGGCCATGTAAAGAAAATGATAAAAAGTCAATAATGTTTTAATGTCCGAGCTCAGGATTGGCGTCTCTTGTATTTTCCCTGTGCAGACAATCTGCCGAAAATCCCAACAATACACTAAAATAAACCCAAATCAGGCATTGATTCTATAAGGGAAAATGTTTAGGGTGTAATTTCACTCCTGACCACCAGGTGTCACCTTTGTCTTTCTCTCTAAAAGTGAAGTCCTTTCTCAACCTTAGTAGATTGCACAATCTTGTTGTTCTTAAGTGGAAAGAGATTGTTGCTGCAAATTACACATTTAGAAACGCGATTATTACAGGACAATACATAATAGTCCACAAATAGCATGAAATCATGGCACAATATTGACGCCGTGTTGTACATTATAGGAAAGAATGATCATGTATTAATACAATTTTAACAGAACCATTCAGAGAAGAAAAGCTTTTTTAAAGTGTAGATTTGGTTCTATGAGGTCATCTAGTCACATGAGTCACCAAAGGCTTCTTCATTTGGGTGGAGCTGAATCAAGCAGAGACTTCCAAACATCAGTCGTTCATCTGTCAATGGAGTTAATCCGTTGGTTAGAATGACTCAGTATGAACTAATTCTTCCCTTTCACTGCTTTCGTGTTGCAATGTATGAACGCATTATTTCTTATTGTCAATGGTATTATGATATGTAATTAGTGGCACTGAGGTATGATCGTGTTGTTTCTGCAGCTGCAAGTATAGGCCAAAGAAAGCTGGATTCAGTTGCCTTACTGTCTAGACCGAACAATTGAAAGGATCCTGCATGACTAGACTTCAAAACTAAATCATTAAAAAAAAACCTCTATGCACCAGTGTTGGACAGATAAAACTCCCATCAAACGTACGTACAGAAAGTCCCGCTGAAAATTTAAATCCTGACGATGAATTTGTTCTCCTGTTGTCAAACGCCTAATTGTCAAAGTAAAAAGTTGTCATACACATGTCCTTTTTGCTGTTTTAATAACTCAATTTACAGATTGGTTGTGTGCACCACATGAGGAAGGTTTTCCCCCAGCTAAATTAAATTATCTTTAATATTATCAAAAACAATTAAGTACGCATGCGCTCTTCATTCAGTTTAGTTGACTGACAGTATCAAAGAGACAATAAACAGTATAGCTTACTTTTATTTATATTAAAGACAGAAAAAATGACTCTTCTTAGTTCTGAGTACTGTTGTAAATTTCCAGAACTCTCATCAGGGGTGTTGCATGAAATAAGGCTGTAAAGGGTGCGGCTGATACTGGCAGGTCGTCGCAGGATGCAACAGAAACCAGTCTGGGCCTGAAATAAAGCAAACACAAGGACAGAGGAGCATTGTTAAAAGACACATACGCTGAGTCATCGCAGCGTTCACTCTCTCTACAGCATGAGATAGAAAGGAAGATGTTGGTTTATGTTGGTTCGTAGGTGAGAGTTACAGGTAAACACTGCAGGCTATTTCTCATGTCAGCACATTTTGAGTTTAGTGCTCCTGTTTCCACCACATACAAGCTGCAGTTATTTGTGTCAGAGTAAGACTTCGTACTGGGCCTTCTGCATTCTGAAAAGTCATTCCCGTTCACATGAAAGGTGGATGGGGTGTGGGACCTATAAGTGTGTCAAAGAGAGTTATTGTTGTGTGTTTTTGGCAGGTCCTGCAGGTTGAAGTGCAAGAACCCCCACACATGCATTGCATAGCAGATTGTCCCCCACTAGATGCAGGGCATGCAAATGAGTCTGCAGTGAGGTTTGACTACAAGTTTAATATGTCGTCTGAAAATCCGGAAATTCCTTTTAGTGAATGCAGAACACACCAGTTTTCATGAGTATCTCAACTGTAAGCATGCACACCTCATTTGTACTTTGCTTCACATGACAGCCACAGTCACACCTTGCCACACCGCCACACATACCAGCACCATTACTCACTCAGCCCACATATACAACAACTCTGACCTACTTTGACAGAGCGGAAGAGTCTGTTTCTCACGAATCGTTGTATTACAATTAAATATCTTCATTTGTTTTCAGATTAATCAAATCTATTATATGATAAGTAGGTTGTTACCACCATGGAAGCATTTTGAGATATGAGATGCAACATTTAAGGGAATGTGAAGCACAGGTAATAGCTCAAACACGATTGTGTTTTACTTTAACAAAAATCCCAAAAATGTCGTGCTTCAGACTCAGTACTGTATAACCACAGTCTCATTTGAGGGCCACTGAGCAGCTCCGTAGAGCGATCGTACCGTACCGTAGGGTAATCTTCTGGTCCCGAACTCATTTCTCTACCTCTAGACCACTGCTGCCTAAAAAGGAGTTTTATGTGATTTTACTGTGTGTTGTTTTCAAAGAAATAAATGTCAATATTTATTCCTAAGTGAGTAAGAAAGAGCAATAAGCAATTCCACTGAGTTAAGTGCAAATCTTCTTAACAATCACTAAAGTAAGCAGCATTTAAAGACTACTGTTAAATCAGTAAATCAGGAAAGTTTGCATTTTTCCCAACCAGTTCATAATAGTACAGGAATTATTAGGAATCATGCAGGCATTAAATACATTTGATTTTATTTGTTAAGTTGAGATGTCCACGGGTCACAATTCCTGCTTTTGTAAAAGTCCAGATCATGACAAGATACCACTTAAATGCTGATCAGATTCAGGTTCAAGGTATTTATAGAGGTTTTTCCATAACACCATTTTCATTTCAGAAAAAGGAAACACTAGGAAATATAGTTTTATTTTGTTTTTAAATTAGGAAAATTGAAGTTACAATCTTAGTTATCCAACTGAATTGCAGAGCAGTGTGTGAGATGTCTCTGATAGTGAGTGCTGTGTGGGCTAATGCAACAGCTGCTGCCTGAGGAAGAATGCCTGTCTGACAGCAGACAGTCAGTAAAATGTCTGCTATGTGCACAGTTTATAATTTGTTCAATTACTGCAGTGATTAATGTATTTGCAAGTTATGCAATGTGTGTCAATATTCTTTATTCTCACAACCTTTATCAATCTACAGAATACAGATTAGCCCTTTTAATTGTGACACTGATCTACAGTAAACTTTACTTAAACAAAATCAAACAGTACGTTGTAATACGATGTTGTTAAACCACTGCCACACCCCTGTGTTATTCTATCACAAGGATGTCTGGTTGCACAAAACAATGTGCACAGACTCTATCGTGGTGTATTATGTGAAAGCACATTTCAGCCATCACTTAGTTGTGCTGGTAGTGCAAAGGATTCATATTTAGGAAGTGAGATTGGAACAAATAACGTCCACCACTTTGAATTGCTCTGGTAAATTTACTTAGCTGTAAAAAATATATCTAGATTTCTTTTGCTATTCTTCTGTGCTGTATAATACTTGCATGCATCTGCAAATGTAGCAGTGAAACCCTTAATGAAGTGCAGAAGTTGGTGTGTCGGTGTGAAAATGCAGTCTCCAGAGATTAAATTATCCTCACTCATATATTACTAGGGTTTTAAACTATCTAAGTTGGACATTATTTATGACCGTTTAGCACATGCATGAGATGAGTTTGCAACCTCAAAATGAAAAGCAGCAGTAACAAGAAGCAACTGGTTTGTATTACTCCAGGCTGTAGATGTGAACAGTCTGTTAGTAGAAGTAAAACAACTCTTGAGGCAAAATGTTCGAAGTAAAACATCCAGAATTCTTATGTTTGAAAATAATCCAAAACTGCCAGGAAAGGTATACATGCTTGTAAAGACTTGAATGAAATACTGTGGTGAAACGGAAAGAAGCAAACAGGGAGGAGCTTGTTCTTGTTTGGGCCTGATGCACATGCCAAAGTACAATGGCAAGAAAAATAATACGGTCGAGTATTAACTTCCATGGACGTCATTAAAAACGGCTTCTAACTGGCAACCCTGCAGGCTAGTGTTGAACAGAACATGAAAGAATGTATAAAGTATAGCATTTACTGAAACTATGACTAACAAAAGAACCAATTCTTAAAATCAGATTTTCATGCAACATAACACCGGTAGAAAAGACAAAGAGGCGTGGTGAGAAGAGGTGTGCTGGTAGAAAGTCAAAAACACTGTCACACTGATCCATTTTACAACGTTCATCACAGTGCTTCTTATCATGGTAACATAACAGGTTTGTCCGGCAGTCTTGCTCAACAGTCATGGCACAAAGTAAACTCACTTCAGCTGAAGTTGAAAAACTGCCAGATTTGACTGAATAACTAACCGGAGGCTGACAGTTACGCGAGTGGCTGTTTTACAAATTGCAGTATACTTTGTAACAATAAAAGATAAAGGTTCACAAGGATTTAATGTCTTCATGCACATTAATGTGGTGCATGGGAAAAAGGGATGAATGGAAAAATGAAGCCATTGTATAAGGTTTGCAGGTAGCTGTGAGGTTTTATTGAATTCATTCAATTTTGTAACAAAAGGATTAAGTTGAATCCCTCTTTCTCCTTCTGATGGTCTCACAAAAATTAACCTGAAGGGTGTGTGTGACAGGTGGGTCAGAGCAACCATTTTAGGTACTGCTCCTCCCTTCAGTCCTGCATTCCCCCTCCCACACCAGAGGCAGCAGCAGCCTTGTACAGTATAAAAAGGAGACGAAGGGAGAGCTGTGCATCTTAGTCCATCTCATTCTCTCCCAGGCAGACCTCCTCAGCAGTCTTCAACATGTCAAGATCCAGTTATTCCAGCTATAATTCAGGCGGCGGTGGAGGCTTTAGTAGATCGTCTACTAGAACCTCTGGTGGAAGCTTTATTAGAAGCTCTTCACAACAGCCTTCTTATGCTTCGAGCATGCATGGGGGTGCAGGTGGAACAAAAATCTCTGTTTCCTCTGGTTTTGGCGGTGGAAGCAGTTATGGCATTGGAGGTGGTTATGGCATGGGAGGGGGAGGGGGAGGGGGAGGCTTCGGCGGAGGCTTCGGCGGAGGCTTCGGCGGAGGCTTCGGCGGAGGTGGTGGCATGGACCTCCATGTTGGGGCCAATGAGAAGGCCACCATGCAGAACCTGAACGACCGTCTGTCCAACTACCTGGAGAAGGTGCGCAGCCTTGAGAACGCCAACGGCGAGTTGGAGATCAAGATCCGCCAGTTCTTGGAGAGCAAGAGCTCCCCCGCTTCTCGTGACTACTCTGCTTACGAGGCCATCATTGCTGACCTGCACGGAAAGGTATGTCACATGACCTCTGAATCCTGAATGAGATACCAAAGCATGCCACACTGTAATTCATCATGCAATGCAACTATTGGAGGAATATGTTGAAAATGGTGCATTGGAGGTTTAACTTACCTTGAGCGGTAAGGCATGTGTATGATTATGTAGAGACCGTTACTATTTAACATACGTAATGTTATATAATGTTTACAGAGTCTCACAGAGACAGTTTGGAGGAAGAATTGCACTAATCATGTCAAATGAAACCTTGCGTCATCACACAGATCCAGAATGCCACCTGTATCAATGGAGGCATCTATCTGTCCATTGACAATGCAAAACTGGCAGCAGACGACTTCAGAACCAAGTAAGTATCAGATATGAGAGACAGAAAGTGTCTAAAACTAAATTGAAAATCACTCTGAACCAATACATGGAAGATGTATAGACTGATTGCAAATGTCCGATCTCTTGCTGCCTCACAGGTTTGAGAATGAGCTAGCCATGCGTCAATCAGTAGAGGCCGACATCGCCGGTCTCAAGAGACTGTTGGATGAGCTGACACTGGCCAGATCAGACCTGGAGATGCAGATAGAAGGCCTCAGGGAGGAGCTGATCTTCCTCAGAAAGAACCACGAGGAGGTGGGTAGCAAATGCTTGACAGCAGTCGACTGAGTTGGTTTGCATTTAATTTGCTGTCTCGAATGTAGAAAAAAATCTACTCAAACACCTCAGCAAACATCCACCTTTTAACAAACTCCTCTTATTCAACAGGAATTGGCAGCCATGGGAAGCCAGATAGGTGGACAGATCAATGTGGAGGTGGACGCAAAACAACAGCCAAACCTGAGCGCCATTATGGATGACATACGTGCACAATATGAGGGTGAGGCCAAGAAGAGCCAAAAAGAACTTGAAGTCTGGTTCCAAACACAGGTAAGACCAAAACCCTGGTGGGGCTATTAATTGCCTAAGTAACGTCTCATTGACTGTTTAAACTGACACACATGTAACATATGTATTTATATATGACACTGTTGTTCTCCAATGTCTGCTCCAGACAGAGACGCTGAACAAGGAGGTGGCAGTCAACACAGAAACCCTCCAAACATCCAAGTCAGAAATCACAGAGCTCCGTCGTTCAATGCAGGGCCTGGAGATCGAGCTACAGTCCCAACTTAGCATGGTAACAGACAATGATCTGGGGCAAATCTTACATACAATTTAATGCAACCACAGTAGGTTTCAGTTATTCACTCCTTCACTTCTCCATCTCTCTTCTCTTAACCTTCCTCCTCCAGAAAGCGTCCCTGGAAGGCACTTTAGCTGAGACAGAGGGACGGTATTCCATGATTCTCCAGGGCCTCCAGATGCAGGTGACGAGCCTGGAGGAACAGCTGATGCAGCTGCGTTGTGACATGGAACGACAGGGCCAAGAATACCAAGTGCTGTTCGACATCAAGACACGGCTGGAGATGGAGATTGCAGAATACAGGAGGCTGCTGGACGGAGAGGGCAGGTAATTTGTCTGCAAAGAACAATTTTGTCCTTTCATTGTCAACTAATAACTAACTCTGTAAATTGAGGCAATGTACTGATATTAAATGCAAGAACTGTAACTCTCCCCCTCCACAGTGTCAGCACTAAAAGCAGTTCAAAGACCTCCTCTAGCAAGGTGACAATTGTAACAGAGGAACTGCGGAATGGCGTGGTGGTGTCCTCCTCTAAAAGCACCAACTAATTTGTCTCCTGTCACCTGACGACCACAAGCAACGTATTAATTACTCAAGTACTACCTTCACAGACACATGAAAATGCAATAAAAGTCCTGTGGTTTGCAAACTATCATTTGTCTTGTTTGAATTATTTGTGTCTTAATTCCAAATAAAGTCGATAGTGTCATGGTTTTGAGATGAAGCAAAGGTCTTGTGAAATTACATATTTCATCTTCAAGAGTTACTTTAGGTATTTGAAAGGTCTAAGATACGATTATTTTGACCGATATGTGTGAAAAACTTGTCCAATGAAATCCCAATAGCTTGAGGTATAGCAGTGTAGGCCATATTATGTCCTGGATATAAAAGGATAGAGAAATTCGGGCTGTGAATATAAAGTTGCTGATAGCCATCCTGGGGCTAGTTTGGAAATTCTGAGTAAAGAGTATTGATGCCCTCCCCCTCTCAACAATTTTAAGTTCAGGACTTTAGCCTCAGAAGCCACACAATGTACAGCCGTACAGTACCAGACGTACAGCTCTACTGCAGACAGCATGCACGCTCCAAAATATATATATTTTTAAGAGGAACAATAAAGTGTATAACCTTAATACCTCACAACAATAGAGCGCTGGGTTTTAATCTGCAGTATAATTTAGATTACAGACCGCAATGTACAGTGTAATACTCTGGAGTTATGGTGTAATCTTTTGTACCAACAGTGTTTCACATACATATGTAGGTACTGAGGAACAACATGTGAAGGAAATAGGGGGGGGGTCACAATTTGGGATTTTACAAAGAACGTATAGTTAGGCCTATTTTAACTATGACCTACTGAGCAATAATTTGAGAGAATACTTATACCTATTCTAATTGGCCATATTACAGGGTATAGTATGACCATAAAACTGAGCAAAAATGTGGACGTTTCAGGCAAGACGTAGTAATGCTTTCTGCATCGCTTTCTGCATCATGTATCAGCATTCACACGCTGTTGAAGTCTCTTTCGTGTGTTGTTTTAATCCATAAAAATGTTGCTGCCATCATAGTTAGATAAATTAATTTAATTTTGAGTTAAATATGAGGATACTAAACGTTTTAATAAAATAATACTTTTTGTTGATTGATCAATATAATTAAGAACAAACATGTAATATATGTGTAAAAGAATCTGTCTGGCATTTCCAAAGCGGAACTATTTGTGTTGTGTCCGGTCCGGTCCGGTCGTTGTTAGGAGTTGCGCTGTTCACCTGCCAGGTGCCACCAAAGGTGCAACGGAGCATAATGTTTAAGTCACCTTGCTGGGTAGTGATGCTCATAAAGATTACATTAAGGGAAGACTCGTAGGGCTGGAATTGAGCGGGCTAACGCGGTCAATGAGGTGTGCAGAGTTATCTGTACGTTTCTACACGATGCTTATAGCGGTTGGATATGCTAACAGTAGCTAGCAGCTAACATGCTAACGGCAGCTAGCAGCTAACATGCTAGCGGAGTGGACACATGTTAGCTGCCGACACACGTAGCATACATTGGGGTTATTAGAGCTTGGTTACTATCAATACAGCTTGTAGAGAGCTGTGATATGGAACCTTAAAACATTCAGACAAAACATTAATTGAATGCTGCTTTAATCTGATACAGTTGGTAATAGAGTAAGATCAAGCTATTACCAACCTTATCTGATTTAGCAAAACACTAATTATTCATCTATGAGGGACAATAATAGAAATGTGGAATACCCGTTCATTACAAAATATATAAAACCACACAAGAACGTTAAATTCAATTGCACGATCTTTATTGATTTTTGATAATCCTTTCAGTTTATCACTCAATCTCATCCACATCCACATCAATGGTCTTGGTGGTCCCGACTACCTTTCCATCCACAACTGTTTCCACCACTGTGATGACTTTTGTGACAACTGAGGAAAATAAAAGTTACAACAATCATGAGCAAATCACACCACATTCCTAGTAGCATTTTAATGGTAAAATAGAAATTACATGCATGAGAAAAGAAATGCGTACCTTGTTTCGAACTGGTAATGGAGAGAAAAAGAATGAAGAAAACATTAGTTTAGAACACGTCTACTGTACATTGTCATACAATCAAACTGGAGTCAGTGTTTCTCTCTCTTCATCAGGTCTCACCTTTCATCCTCCCCATCCAGCAGCCTCCTGTACTCTGTGATCTCCATCTCCAGCCGAGTCTTGAGGTCCAGCAGCATGTCGTACTCCTGCTTGTTGCTGGCGATGCTGGCGTGGAGCTGGGACAGCTGGGTCTCCAGGCTGGTGACCATGTTCTGGAGGCCTGATAGCTGTGCAGCATAGCGCGTCTGCGTCTCTGCCAGGGTGCCTTCCAGAGACGCTTTCTGTTGTGGTCGTAGCAAGAAGTTGTTAGGTGTGTGTAGGCAGTCAGTGATTACAATTCAGAGATGTTACTTGATGCTGGTTACAATTTGCTGTAAGGCTTGTTGGCGTGAGTGTGCAACCAGCATCTTGTGGCTCTGTGTACTTCGTAATTACCCTTATTCGCTTTGTTGCCGAGAACAAGATGAGAAGATTGTTACCAATCGCACGTCTGTGCACTAAAGATGGAGCATCACCTAGCTACCGGTTAGCTTATAGCTTAGCATTAAGACTGGAATTGGTGAAACAGCTAGCTTATCTCGGTCCAAAAGTAACAAAATCTGCATAACGGCATCGGTAAAGCTCAAAAATTCACGAAATATTGTGTTTGTTGACGTACCATGCTGAAATGGGACTGCAGTTCAATCTGAAGCCTCTGGAGGGTGCTCTTCAGCTCCTTAAGCTCTGTGCGGGACGTCACCAGAATGTCTATGTTTGTGATCACGTCCTGCTCCACTGATGTGATCTAGGCACATCAAAGAAACAACATTCTTTGTTTTACCCAAAAATGATAGTAGATTACTGCCACGTGATTAAGATAGATAACCTCAATTGAACTCTTTAAAGGTTAGTGCAGCGGCTGTATTCTGAGCAGTTGTGCCTGTTCACCTTGGTCTGGTACCATGCCTCGAGTTCCTTGCGATTCTTGCTGATCGCGCTCTCATAGTGTTCCCTGATCTCTGACATAACATTGTTCAGGTCTGGAGAGGGAGAAGCATCCACCTCCACAATGACTTGTCCGCCCATCATACTCCTCAGCAGAATCAGCTCCTGTAGGGGTCAAAGGACAGTCAGCTGGTGTAACAACTAAAATGAGTGAATTCGTTTTTTATTATGGCAACAAGAGCATCCAATCAATTTCTTTTGTGAGCTGTAGTGCATGTATGTTTTTTGGTTCTTTGATCTAAGTGTGAGAGACAAACAGTAGCAACGAGCTAATGGAGGCAGAGAAGAATACAAGGAAGTGTGTGAAGGGAAGAGGGCAGCGCTGGGAAAAGGGAGACGGCGGCAGACCTGTTTATAAAAACAATAACCAAACATGGAATTTCCTCTGTGTTATCAAAGGTAACACGGAGGTCATGTGTGCAGAGCTTTGCTTAGACCACAGTAGATGGCTCTGATAAATGGTTGCACAGTGAATAGCTGCTGAAAAGATGGATGATGATGAGTTTAATCAATCACCAGTGTAGTAGCACACTTTCGGGTTATGTATACAGAGTGGCTGTTGGCCTGTGTGCAGGAATGTATCGGGTGTGGACTGATGCAAACTCATCAGTTTTGCAGCATGTGAATCTCATCAACAAACCTTGGATTGGTTAAAACCAACCACTACTCCATCGTCTGTGCACTCTCACCTCTTCGTGATTCCTCTTGAGCATGATGATCTCCTCCTTCAGGGCCTCGTACTGGCTCTCCAGGTCCATTCTGACCAGGTTCATCTCATCCAGCACCCTCTTCAGTCCAGCGATGTCCACATCCACAGCCATCCTCATGGCCTGCTCGTTCTCATACCTGAGAGGGGTGGCGGGGGGGGGGGGGGCGCACAGAAGGACGAGCAAACCGGTCAGATGGGTTTTAGTGGGTCGTTAAGATTAGAAGTTGTCAGTGAGACTTCAGTTCACGCTTTGCTGTGATGTGGCATTGCAGAGAAGGGAAGGGGGGAATACACTCACTTCATTTTGAAATCATCAGCAGCTAGTTTTGCGTTGTCGATGTCCAGGATTGTCTTGGCATTAAGCCTCGAGGCAATACAGATCTGAGGAAAACAAAAAACAGGGAAACAAGTCAGAAAAGGTACAACTGAGCTCATGTCTCATACAGATAAATTAATAAAGATGGATAAATTAGTATACCTGATATACTGTACTAATTTATCCATTGGTTGATATTCAATGTTTACACTTTTTGGGAAAGGACTCTTGAAAATGTGCAGTGCATATGATGCAAAAGTTAAATATCAACATTAAATAAAATCAGATATACAACCATTTATAAGCTTAAATTAAGCCTGTGCAAAATGTACGTACTGTACAATATTGGCTCATAATATCAACTATCTGATATTTCAGTTGGGCTCTGCAATAAACCTGCACTGCATCCCTTTGTAAGTATGACAATGAACAGTGTACTGGTAATTGATTTTTGCATAATAGTGTAAACAGCTTCCTGATAAGATGGCCCACTTCTTCACTCTGCTAATGACGTTTCCTGGTTCTCTAACTCAAATGTCAGCTGTCTCAACCCCACATACAGTACACACCAACACACTCCCTCGGAAAGATGAGAAGGGGAAGATAACAGAGAACACACACATATCTGTCTACTACTCCCTACCTTGTCCTTCAGGTCTTCGATGATGGCGAAGTAGCTGGTGTAGTCGTGGCAGATGACCGTTTTGCTCTGGTACCAATCTCTGATCTGCTGTTCCAGGCGGTCGTTCTCCTTCTCCAGGGTGCGCACCTTGTCCAGGTAGGAGGCCAGACGGTCGTTCAGGTTCTGCATGGTGGCCTTCTCGTTGGCCCCGACGTGGAGGTCCAGGCCATCGGACAGGTTGAAGCCTCTGTAGGATGATCCGTAGTTCTGCTGGCATGAGGAGATGCGGGTGCCACGGCCGCCTGCTCCTCCGTAGACACTCATGGTCCTCTGGCCGTAGGATCTGCTGCTGAGAGACATGCTGGGAGAGAGCTGGATCTGGATCAGGATCAGGATCAGGAT